GATATTTAAATTTCGCTTTCTGGGTCAAAACTACTCGAATTTCCTCACTCACGTTGTTACGACTGAATCGACTTTTCAATTCTCTATCCAACGATTCCAAAACGAATGAATTCTGTGGTTCAAATGGTTCTTGAGAAACCTCGAAAAAAGCAGCGTCAAGTCGATTATGCAACTCAAAAAAAAACCACGCAAATCTAAAACATTTTTCTCAAAAAAGCATTTCTTGAGAAAACTGCCAACAATTCCCCATCCAGGGTTCACTTTCTAAAATGGCCATTTATTTCTGTCTAAATGATGTAAAAATGAGCGTTCTTGTTTATTTTGCCTCCGAGAAATGAGCAAAAACGGGACGGAAAACATTAAATTTTGCAATAATCTTACGCCACCCTTGCACAAAACGACGATAATTTTTCTAATTTCATAGACAACAGAAGAGTGTATTTTTTCTACATAACCCCCCCTGACTTTAAAGCTAGATCCGCCCCTGGCCAGCTTTGCAATATGCGAGCAATAAACATTTTTCCACTGAAAATATATGGGCTTTCAAAAGGCAATTAATTATACCTGAAATTAATTAATATTGCTATTTGTTCATGTATACTTGCGATCTAAATAAATACCTTAGTTGCATTTAAATATGTGCCAATTTGCTCCATGCGTAATTTGGTGCAATTTTCTGGTCATAATAATTACGGGAATTTAATAATACTAATACTTTATATTGATGAGTGAAGGCAATAAAGAAGTACTTATCAAAACGTGGCTTTCCATAAAAACGACCCCTATAAACACAGCTACAAAGAAGGTTAGTTACATTATTGCCATGTGTGTCCAGCTTTATGTGTGCATCTGTTACATTTCTGCTGGGCAAGAAATTTGAAGGAGTAATAAAAGTCGCATTTTGTATAACTTATTTCGATACTCTCCAAGTTCGTTAATTTATTTTTATGTCGCCTTTAAAGGTTTCATGCGATATTTTACCCCCAAACAGTATTCTCTACGAAATTTCTTTGTCACTACAGCCAAGTCAAAATCTTCGCAGTTGACGCAAAAATTAACATTTTTTCTCATTCTAACCGTCCTTCATCATCTAGCTCCTCTTCTCCTTTTTAGAGCGCTTCAATTTGGAAACAATCAAGCGAATGATTGTTTTTAAACTAATCCAAGCTATTGCCAGTGCTGCGATTATGCTTGCGAGTATATCCAACATCAGGTACTTGTAGATCGGCAAATTAGCGCCCGAAACTTGTAAATGTTTGGCGCCGTTATTTCGTATCACATATTCGACCCAATATACGGTACTCTCCATTGGTGTGAGTGGCCTGTCATGGAAAATCTGCGATCGCTGTCGCGCGCTTTTCATATATTTCGGATTATTCAACAGTTCGTTCAGAGTTGCACTGAACGTTTCATAATTGAAGTTTTTATCGTTGTAACCGAGCATCAGCCCATATCCATAACGTACGGCGTTTTCAGCGTTCATGTACTGGTCTCCATATATTGGAATTGCTAGAACTGGCACTCCATGATAGACGGTTTCTGTGGTACTCAGGAGACCCCCATGAGTGATGAAGAGTTTCACGTTGGGATGAGCTGTAAGAAATTGTACGTGAATAATTATCACGTGTAAAAAGGGACGTGCTACCTAAAATATCCTGCTGAGGCAGCCAGCTCTTCATCAAAACATTGTCGGGAAATCCTGGCATCTTCTCCACTTCAAACTTCCAAATCACCTTTTGCTTCAGCTTCCTGAAGGCATTGAAGAAAATTTCCAGTTTCTCCTTCCTCATCTGGCTTCCCTTTATATTGCCGCCCATACTAAAATATATCACACCGTCAGTGGCTTTGTCCATGAACTGCTGCAAATCGTCCGGAAGCGGTTTGGGGGGCTCAATGTGGTACCCACCAATATGCACCATATTGGGCACTAAGGGAACTGGTTCCATTAGGCTTTCGTGCGAGTTTAGCAGTACCAAAGCAGTACGTTTGTTGAGTTCTTCTACCGATGGAGCCCCGGGAAACCGGGCCTGGATGAGCCGATTGTGCAGAGGTTGTGAATAGAAATAATCCACCAGAAACTCTGTAATGTAGGTGACCAAGTTTCCAAAGCGAGTCCAGATTTTCGTGTAATCAAACGTGCTGGAAAAGAAGATGTGGCGAATGTAGGCAGGAGGATTTGGGTTTCCAACGATGTTGTTTACCCATGGAGCAGCCCCTGAAATACACAATCTGAAGGTGATTTCAAGCTGTAGAAATAACCGGTTTTGGTGAATATTTTCGGCAATTATTCAGTTGGTGAGATCGTGTTGGATTCACTTCACTTACCCATGCTGGATATCAAAATAAGGGGACAGTCAAAGAAATGGGCGTAGGCTTTGTGAGCATCGTTCATGAACTGTTCAAGAACAACCGCATCGAATTTAGTAGCGGGCGTTAAAAGTGCCTTCACTTTGGGATCCCATAGCGTGTCATTTATCCAATGCACCATCAGATTTTGGTATTGGACCATTCTTTCAACAACATTTCTGTTACTGTCTTCCAATAAATTCATGTCTTTGAATTTTTCTGTAAATGAATTAGATTATTGCAAAAAAACGGAAAAAGTAGCTGAATGCGCCGTAACACAATGGAATCAGACGGACTTTTTCGTTCGCCAAAAAGTGAATTTTGTTATTCAACAATAAGGTTTTGTGCAAATTTATACTTTGTACATCATTGTGAATCCGCTCGGTTTTTCCCGGGATAAGAAGCAAGTAGGGAGTTATTGAAACAAATACTCAGTCTTGGTGGAAAGTCGATTTTCACAACTTTCAAAATGCGTACATTTGTACTGTTCCAACTGAGACTAAAATACTGAAAATTTCGAAAACCGAATCTCGATATCAACACAACATAGCCTTTGAACCAAATCGTGAATAACTTTGATTACATTTATATTTGAATTGTTTGTCGATTGTTGACACGCAGATGTGTGTGACTGATTTTTGAGGTCAAAACCCATTGGATAATACACACACACATGTTGGAATTTTTTTATCTCTTAAATTATAATAGGTAACGCTTAAAGATTAAGAGATGCTGCTTGTTACGGTGTTTGATTTATACACGCTTTGGCACATATTGCCGAGAATATTTACTGTTTTCAACCCAAACACATTTATCGACTTAAAGAGTCTCTGATAAAAATATCCAAGAAAAGTGAGATGAAAATAAACTTATGCGTACTGATCTTAGATGGCAAAATTGGAGACTGGATATCAGTCGTTTGCAGAAAAAGCGGTTGATAAGATTTTTTCTTTTTGCGTCTTTAAAGGGTACAGAGTGGTTGGAAGCAAAGTCATTAGAATCCAGGGAGATTCTTTAAAGAAATAGTCAATTTTTAACACAGATCCATCTTCTGTTTTGCCTTGAATTATCAAAATCATTTAACGTCGACATGAAGAATTCCTTGTGGAGAGATTTCAAAGAAATCAGCTGCATCAGATGAAGGATTTCCTGAA